AATTGAACACAGGTCTTCATCCCGTGGCTTTAACCACTAGGCTAAATAACTGTGTTTTGTTACACATCAGAAACCACCAAAAGTGACCACTGGAGAGATCAGCTCATCTCTTGTCTAGGGCATCATGAACAATGGATGACTTCATGTTTGACTGTTGGTGACGATGCTGTTGGTATGACGTTACTACAAACCACTTCGCGAACAAGGGAAACAATTTAACATGAACCAGCCAATCAGCAGGAAGCAAATTATCATTCTCATTGGGAATTACTAAAACAACTGCACTGACATTCTTGCATCTTGCGTCCGCTCCTCACGCTGAAGACACCTGGCTGTCCCTTTCTCTGCACTTCTCTCTCGTAACAGACAGTGAACTGTGTCAATATTTTAATGATAGTTTGTTAAACAACTTTATTATTTTTAGGACAAAAATTCTGCAAAAACCTCACAGAGTGGGTATGATGTTTTGATTATGATCAGCGTTTCATTGAGTATGTTATGTTTATTAGTTTTCGAGTTAGATTGCAGTTCATCAGTCCGCTTTTGAGCCAAACGGACTGTAGTACTGATGACAAGGTAGTGAAAGGGAACCAAAAGCTTAAGATAAGACGAGGGGGTAACCTAGTCAAGCATATAAATAGACGACTTTGCACTATATCAAGGTGTGCTCGCCAACTCGACGTAGGCCTTGGCTGGAATACGAGTTTATTTAATTATTAACTAGGGGGTAACCTAACCATGGCTAACCCTAACACAACTAAAACCAATCAGATGCGCCGGGTAAACTGCAATGTTGCCATTTCGGAATTAGTGTTGGGAATTGGTTGAAATCTCACAATTGATGATTGGTTCAATACCAACGACCAATCATCGAAAAAAATTGGTTAGCGTCATTTTTTAGATTTTCCTATTCAGGTTGTAGTTGCAGATAAGTATAAAGAAGACACATTTGCTTCTCTGTTGTTTTTTGAAACTGCACAAATTACATTTGCAAATTTCACATCCAGTGTAAAATTATTCAGTTCCAGTGTAACATAAATTTCCCAGATTCTTCAAGAATCATGACTTTTCAGAAAGTGAAGTGAGTTTTCTTAGAAATAAACACATTTTCAGGCCCTGACAACATCCTAGATATGTTCTATCATCAAGTATTTCAAACTCTATTACAGCGGTTCCAAAATCGTTTGTGTTCGATTATGAGAAAATGTGATCGATAGCTTGGTCGTTTGGCCACTGCGACCAATGTTCGATTATTTCAATTAATCGGAACACCTCTATTCGGAATTGTGTTTTTTTCTTCCTCTGTGTGAAGGAAATCGTAATGTCAAGCGAACTAATTAGACCAAAAAGGTAAACAGTTGTATCATACGTCTTTGATCTTAAGACAGATCATGACAGCACTTCTTAACTTAAAGATCACATATACTCTAGGGGGGGTACAAATACATAAATCACTAATTGGCATTGTTATAAATGAAACCCTGTCAGTAAAACTTCTCATTTCGATCTTTAATTAACTTAAATCGACCATTTTGACAACAGTGCACAATTCTCACCCGCGCATGAAATTTCAACCAATCAGAGCAGCGCGTCTCTGTGACGTCATATGAGGAATAGGTATGAGGGCCGATGCAAAATTCATGTACATTTCAGGGGGTAAATTATCTTGTTTACAGGTTTGTATAAACCTGAAATCGTGGCAACTGTTGTGAAAAATGAAAGCTATATGTTCTCACAATCTACTGTCATTGAATTTTGTCTCCTGCTTTGCCTAGTTTCCGAGTTACAACTTGTTTTCATAGACAATTCTGTCAAAATTCCTTGGCGTCGCTAGGCCTTATTTGTTCGAGCCAGACACTAGTGATAGCGAAAACGATGATCAGCCTCGCTCATCATGGTTACGATCATAATTTCTTCAACCTGAACAGTGGGACATTAAGAAGGGTGGATGCCCATCAGATGCAGTAATTTGAAAATATCCCCGGTAGTTCTTGCCTGATTGTAATAAAGTATCAAATCAGTGTGGGCTTTTTCAGGTTTTCTAATGCCTGGATGGTATAATGACTGAACCAAATTGATCCCATTTCTGTGGTTTTTTTACCTCGATATTTAATCATGTCATGTCAAAATATGACGTCTAGTACGGTACGTATGATATTAAAAATTGTTGTTACCCGTGTTAGGTGGTATAAACCTACACATGTTATTTGTCATCATTCACATGATTGTCAGTTAATTAATTTATAACAGGTATAATTAGTGGTAACACCACTTAGATTACCCGACAAAGGTTCCCATTTGGCATTTCTTGTGTCTGGAGTAAATACTCAACATTATAAAAGGTAGCGTGTATGTATGTAGATTTACTAATCTATACTGAATACACTCTGTCGTGTCTGTGTCTGCGAAAAAACAATGCCCTTCTTTCAAAGGATTAACCGCCAATACAATGATTGATTGCTCAATATTGGCTAACTAAATTACTTTTTTTAAAAGAAAGGCGGACATTATGCAATTAGTTGCCAGGTGTGCTATCTTAGGTTACCAATGAGACTATACACCAATGTGTAATACCTGAAACGATATGTCCCTTTTTCGTATATTGGACTGCTAAAAAGACACACAACAGCTGCAGATGAATGGCATATCACTCGTTTTTGTGGATATTGATGGATACATTCCTGGAACAAGGTAATAAATAGCCTGACATTGTTCCTATAACTTTAATCTGTTTTAATTTTAATATTTGCATTTTGTTTTTGTTTATTTGGCGTAGCATTCAACAGAATCATTGTTTTCGCCGTGAAGTGTAATGAGACAGACAACATACACTGGGGCATGTGTGCGAATTATGATTCACATTGGCAAACTATAAAATGTCTAGATATTACAGTCCTGTTATAAATTCACTATAAGTACCAGCAGATCGTCTGCTTTTTATTTAGTTTCAAAATGCATACAAGTATGATAATAAATAGACTTACAACTAGTCTCTGAAATGAACATATTTTACTGAAAAAAGTTCATAGTAAAAGAAAATATATATATAATGAAAAGGAGCCCTGAGACTTTCTTCATTTTCAGAAGCTGAGGAAATCTAGACTTGCCACATTTTCTAGATTTGTGTGGGCTTTCTTGGATATATTTGCTTCAGGGTCTGTACGAGAGACTAGATAATAAACTAATTAGGATTATAAGACCAAATATAAAGACGTACATTGACTAGTATCTACATACTGGTGAGTGGACGTTAACCACATGAATGTAGCAAGAAACTTATCGCGCAGAATTGTCACTTCGACCCCCACCTCGCTTCCGTGGAAGAAATCGTTATGTTATAAGTTGTGTCATGTAAAATCCTTTTGGTCATGATTCAAATACATATTTAACTACGAGTAGAAAGTAGTTTTGATTTTCTAACTTGATGAAAACAAACCATAATCTCAGTAATTCTAACAGACTTTAGCCCGTGACTTTACGATTTTCAAAAATGGCGGCACCCTGTCGCGAACATCCGCCAGTCTGAGGATAAATGCTATTTAGGTTTGTTTTCACCGAAAGTTATAAAATCAAAACTACTTTCTACTGGTAGTAAAATATGTATTTGATTGATGGCCAATAGGATTTTGCATGACATAGCTTTTAACATAACAATTTCTCTCGTGGCAGCAAGGTAGGTGTCAAAATACTACTACTTACAGTATTATTGTTACTTCGACCACAACCTCGCTTCCGAGGAAGAAATCGATATGTTACAAGTTGTGTCATGGAAAATCTTAATGGTCATCAATCATATACATATGTTACTACAACTAGTAAGTAGTTTTGATTCTTTAACTTCCGTGAAGCGATCTGAACACAAATAAGATATCGTTTCAGGCTTCCACAACGCTCGCTTCGCACTCACAACCATAACCCATTTTGAACGAACTGCAGGGTCCAGTGGAAATCTGTGCATGGTGACACCATCGTCAGACCCCTAGGAGCAATTGACGACAACGCAACGATTCGGCATGCCTTCGTTGATGTCGAGAAATCATCAAAATGACGAGCTTGAGCGTGCTACACAGTTTCTATACTGTTTATTTGTTCTTTAAGTACTTGTAGACATTAGTTGAACGAGTGATTATTGATATTTAACACACTCTGAATACGTTGTATCACATATTCGTTAACGTTAACCTGAAGTACAAGTTTGTTTAGGGTTAGGGTTTAGGGTTAGGCACCCTTTACAATCCTTAGGGTTAGGGGTTAGGGTTAGGGAACCCCAGCAGCGCTAATTAATCTGAAAAAGTGCGCCCGGTAAAGTGCAGTACTCCCCAAGTTTGCACTCATGCATGACAAGAACGCTTTTGACAGGTCATGTTTTGAAACCCTTCTGTATTCGTGCACTGACCTAAATGAGTAGACAATATTAGCAATATACAAATATGGGTCAGTTAATACAATATCCAAATAAAACATCCCAACACAAACCTCGTCATCGCTGAGCAAACCGAAGCGGTTTTGATTTGATGAGTTGGTTGAGTTCATCTCGCAAACTGGGAAAGTAGCCATGCTTATACAAACAGGAACACTTTCGCCTATGGCCACACGTGACTTCGTCTGCAATCACCGAGAGATGGCGCTAAAGTTTATTTATTTCTCGTCCACACGGTATTTATATTTCTTATTATCTTTACTATCTAAATATATGTGAAAACAATCACTTATACTTAGCACGGATACTTCAAATGAGATATACGAATATATCTTCGTTTGATGATTTTTATCTAAAAACGTTTATATACTACTAGTATAACAACGCCTTTTCATAAAAGATCTTCACGTTAGCCTTAAAACTTCAAAAACATATTAAATCAGGCATTTCAAATTTGTTTTGCAATTCAAAATTACTGTAATCAAATCAATTATACATTTAGACAATAACATATGATACAGTAAATATTTATAATAGCAGTTAATTTCTAACGCAAATAGTTGGAAAGATAGTATTATATCACGTGAACCATTGATCGTTGCTGTGCAACCAGTTGACAACGAAGTATTAATAGATCTCCAAGCTCGGGGCTTCAGTCTGTGAATATTATAACATTGTGACAGGAATTTCACAGAATGGAAGCTAACGAGGAGGTAAGCGACCAGAGAAGCGATCATTTGGATTCACACTTAAAGAACTAGAAAACCATTTTTTTCTGATAGTCAGCAAGTAATGTTCTTTGATATGACATCCTTATTTAGGCATCTTCAAACCAGATACAGATTATACCATCATAATAATATTGTCAGTGAAGTGTCTCCCGTTGCCATCTATTATTATTTTTGCAGATTCAGAAATTCCTTGATTGAACTATTTGCATTTATGGAATTATTGGGACAGCCAACACACATACTGATTCTTCCTAAGTTTCTAATAGAGTGTTGACAGTGTACTATTTACCAGGGAAACAAAACAAACAGTCCATTAAATCAGGTTTGTTGATTTGATGCTGAGTTGGCTATGGCTATGATACGGAAAGGTATTGATGAAAGAAGTAACCTGAAATCTCAATGTTGTTATGTTTTGACAATTACCCTGATGAAAAGTTGAAACATGTACACGACATAAGAAACTGATCAGGAGTTATGAATACACAATGCCATTTAGAAAGTGGTCAAATGTAACATATGTTATATTTGGGATTACACTTTCTTAGTAAAGTACAGATTCTAGTAATTTTGAACCTCATCCAGGATTCGCACCCAGACCCTCAGAGTCAGGCACCTAATCACCAGCACACAAAGTCAGACGCCTAACCCACTCAGCCTGTTTTAATTCAGTAGTTCCTTTGATTATTTATCAAACTATGTTATGTCCTTCACAGGGGCGTGTCATGCTTAGAAACAATGTTAAAAAAGACATATAGGTATATAGACCCAACCCTAATACCTACCCTACCTACCCTACCCTAAAAGGAAAGGGATGTAACAACGGAATCACCCCCTCCTCAATCAAAGTTAGATTTCACCACATAAACTATTTTTAAGGCCCCGTCGAGGCCCACGGATCGAAAGCGAGATGATTTCCCTACAAAATGAGCTATAAATGGTCACAATCGGATCATTATTTCAAAAGTTATATGCCACGACTCGCCGAAAACAGCTACCTTCTGCAATTCCAAGCCAAAATCATGGTTCACCCAAGACAGCGAAAACTCACCTTTTAAATTTGTTTATTAATTCCAGCCACGTTGACAGCACCTATGTAGGGCTAGATTCGATCGACAGCGCCATTCCATGGGTCTAAAAGCTTATTGCAACATCTACAAATCATTTCCTCGACAGTAAGCAGGCATTTTCTCCAAACCCATCTGCAATCATACTCACTTGTCGGCCATAGATGGCCTTGACATTCAAGTGATCTGAGCAGATCCGCAGAAACTGAATTGGGCAATCCGATTGGTGGAAAATATAAAATACTGTAAGATTTTGACTGTTTGCTAATGGGCTCGAAATATGAACTTTGCAATAATCCTATATTTGGGATGATGTACGGAACAATAAATTGTTAAGAATAGTTTTAGAGGTTGTAAAAATGCATTCGATATTGATTCATTTTTAGGAAATTATATTTATAAATATTTAACTTCTAAAATTATTCTTACAAATTTACTGTTCAGGTCACTTAAATGTCAAGGCCATCTATGACCGACAAATGAGTATGATTGCCAATGGTTTTGGAGAAAATGCCTGCTTACTGTCGAGGAAATGATTTGTAGATGTTGCAATAAGCTTTTAGACCCATGGAATGGCGCTGTCGATCGAATCTAGCCCTACATAGGTGCTGTCAACGTGGCTGGAATTAATAAACGAATTTAAAAGGTGAGTTTTCGCTGTCTTGGGTGAACCATGATTTTGGCTTGGAATTGCAGAAGGTAGCTGTTTTCGGCGAGTCGTGGCATATAACTTTTGAAATAATGATCCGATTGTGACCATTTATAGCTCATTCTGTAGGGAAATCATCTCGCTTTTGATCCGTAGGCCTCGACAGGGCCTTAAAAATAGTTTACGGGGTGAAATCTAACTTAGATTGGTTCCGTTGTTACATCCTTTTCCTTTTATATAGTACTAGGGTAGGGTCTATATACCTATATGTCTTTCTAACGCTGTTTCTAAGCGTGACACGCCCCTGTGATGTCCTCGACATTCAGAAAAATTACCTTTTAATGACACTTGATCTATTCCTTCAACTTGGATAAAATATACCAATACCTGCGTCCAAAAGGGCCAGTACAGGGGTGGAAGTAACACATTGCCCGACGTCCGAGTCCAGTGTTTTTTTTCTGTCGGGCAAGCAAATTTGTATATCACACTGTACCGGTGTCCAGTTGACTTTCCAATGTTAATTATGTTGTTTATTTAAAAAATCAGCAATAAAAAGGTCGGTATAGTGGGAAAATTATCAGGGCAAGTGACTTTACATGTGCCACTGTACCGGAGTACACTATCAAGATTAAAGTTATTTCCACCCCTAACTCACTCTTTGTTAATTTCAATGTCCTAAATAAGGTAACACTGTAACAAGTGTAAGAGGTGATCATGACTAGAAAATGAATGTGATATCTTTCCAAAAGAGTCATAGAATTCTGGCATGGATCTGTAATCTTTGTTTAGGGCTACACATTGTTTAAATTGTTGACAATCTGATCTCCTAGAAATGGAATAAAGCTACAGGTTTAATTAGCAACATACTGATAATTTCACTATATATGGATTCATTCACAGAAATGCAAACAAACAACGGAATGTGCTATGCTACTGCTTGACGAGTTGATGATGTTAAATATTTTAAGTGTATCCACATTCCTTACTTGCCACAGCAGGTATAACAAACATGCTAATATAAAATACAACGGACTTATGAAATCATAGTGAGTGTATAATGATAATAAACATGTGTAAAGTTGATTTTGTGTATGTAACTCAGTATCTGGTGTATCCGCAGTGTTGAGTGGTACCTGCATGACACCTTGATGGCACGCTGTTGAATGACTTCCAATAGTGGCCCTTGGTATTTCCTGCAGATTCGAATCTATTGTGTTGTGCATTTAATGTAGTGAGATGATCTTGTCTTGGTGTGGGTTTTTTGGAGGGTCTCCAATTCCCAGGTCTCACCGAACCCTGGTGGGTGACCCATTTGATGTACTCATGCCACATTTAAGAATTTACATTTTTTCATTTGCCAAACATCCAGGCAACTTGCGACACTATCTATCTCCCCCGCCCCTCACTCCCACACTGGAGTCAGGGTTTCACCTGGATTCTGTCTGATCACTGAGATACACATGATGAGGCACCCAACACACAGACTTCGGCTTGTTTGTTTATGTGCATGTTCAGCTTGTATGTGCATGTTCAGCCTGTTTGTGCTTGTTCAGCTTGTTTGTGCATGTTCAGCATGTTTTGTACATGCAGAATGAGAAATTTCATTGTGATTACATATTGCAATGTCAAACCACTGTAATGTGAATATATAGCTCAACCACAGGTACATTCAAATGATAGTTCCCACATCTGCAACTACCAAACTGTGGATGAAATTGAACTGTAACTTTTCACATCAGACAGTGAAAGTGACTGGTATGAGAACCTGTATTAGTTTTCCTCAAGGTAGGACAGTGAGGAAACAAGAAGTACATGACGCATATAAGTTTCTTTGCAAACTGTATTCAATACACAACGTTACAGGCCAGGTTACAGAAACAGATGGCGTTCATTAGTGGTGTGTGGAGTTGCCTCCCTTAGGTGGTTCAAATCCTGCTTTTCTGTGATAGTATTTTGCTATGCTCAGTCATTCCACCGAAGTGTAAACGTTGAAGACCTTCTTCACCTAAGATTCTCCTCTCACACGAACACAGCATGGTGTTAAGTAACGGAAATCGTGTTCACAGCAGTGATCAACCAAAGTCAGCAGTATTTCGCGGTACCTGATTTGGCTGTAATATAGCAATATTCACGAAATGAGACATATGTAACAATTTGCATATAGTATTTATTGTGATGCTTCCAGACACAGACGCCCCAGGCACCGGAGCTTGGACCAGGAGGGGTGCCCAAGGATGCCAAGACATCTGACTACTACCGGACAAAGGAGATGCCAGCCAGGTTCGACAACCCCAGTAAGTACATCATGAAGTGACACAAGACAGTCTGAGTCATTCAGCTCATGTGCTGACCCTTTTTTCAACAAAATGATCTTAACTGCCGTGTGTCACTTCAGTCGCAGTCGAAGATTGTCTTGTGTAATGGACTCATGGGCTGTGTATTTCCATTGTAAACATTAGTAATCACTAAATAACTGAATGTGAGTTTGTGAGGATCGTATGGACAGTATGGAGGAACTGATGGTGTTGATGTGTGTGTTGCAGACTGGTTCGAAGGCTACGTCGGGAAGCCCCAGCACCCCATGTACATGACGACATCCTCCGAGTATGGCCGTCGGGCACCGAGCGTTCACACCATGCCAACATGTTTTCATGCCAAGTCCCAGCAATTCTCAGAGGTATGACAAAAAACATTGTCAGCTATGCTAATACAAGACTTTGGGGGGATACAACATTATTTACAAAATGTTGATTTTAGAGATTATAGAATTGTATTTAGTTGGCATGAATTAGCTAAAAGTAGACAAAACTGTCCGCACTTGAATTTGGTATATGTCAATTATACACAGTATATTTTGGATAGAATCTAAGAAGTAACTCAAGTTGTTAATCCTCATATTTGAGAATCTTGCAATGATTTAGCCTTGAATGTAGGTTTGGTCTGTCCTATTGGATTCAGGATGTAATGTTGTGTTTCAGAAACTGGGCGTATGCGGCATGTACCGGAACCACTCGCTGAACACAGGTCTAGACCAGAGTCGTGTCTAGCTGTCTAATATTGTACACATTCACAGATCTCACATTCCACACCTCTGACTCTTGCTAAAATTTTAGTCAGTGTTTTGTTACATTTTATTATGAAAAGTTTCTTACATCTGCATAAATGAAATGGAAATGAAGCAATATAATGAAAGTTGAGAGTTATTCAGTAGTCTGTTGTTGAAAGTGGTAATAAACTATATCATATGATGATGATATTAATATTTCAAGTATTTAAAGTTACTGGGAACATTTATATAAAACTACATCCAAGTCTTATTGTTGATATCATGTGTAGTGGGGTGTTATATACATCAGTCCTACCAGATATTGGAGGGTGAGTTTACTTTCGTCGCTTGCATGCTGTGTGTGGAAATCATTGTATATCATTTTATATATCATTAAATCTTCCATGCATTGCCTGAGTTGTGTTCCCTCTGTAAGTCTCCATGTGTTCATGTCGTGAAGGGCAGTGGGGTAGTCTAGTGGTTAAAGCGTTGGCTCGTCACGCCGAAGACCCAGGTTCGAATCCCCACATGGGTACAATGAGTGATGCCCATTTCTGGTGTTCCCCGCTGTGATATTGCTGGAATATTGCTAAAAGCAGCGTAAAACCAAACTCAGTCAGTCAGTCATGTCGTGAAAGTTGGAATCTGCTATATTGCTGTTGTTGTGATAACAATTTATTGTTTAAAGTATTTAATTGCCTTCTTTCTTGTGTTGAAAAACTTTGTCCTACTGTATTGTGGTGTTTCAGTTGGTATTCAACCGAGAAAAAAAATCTCTTTGCCTGATGTCGCCCATCCTCGATATCTCCAGGGTATACGTTACGATCACTCTGCACTATATCCTGGATGCATCCACGCCTTGGCCCGATAATTATATTACCTCCCTTTGCTGGCTCCTCATTCTCACAGTAGCCAATCAGCTAAGCCGCCGTTACATCAGAGCTTGCCAGTGTCAACAGCTTGACAGCGGTCGCAGTCGCGAAGGTTTGTTCGCAGTACCACTCAGATTTGAGAAATAATACAAACAAATTGACAGATCTGAAACTTTACAAAACATGTAAAGAACTCCTTCCACATCTTCAGAGTGCCCTCTGCATCTATTGTGTTGCCAAGTTTAAACGGTTAGATAATTTAAGAAGTGAAAGTGAGTTGTGACTGGTTCGCTCAACTTCCCAGCGTAGACACCTGATTGGATAAAAAGCCAGGCAAGGGAGGTAATAAAATCAACATAGCCGTGGATGCATCCAGGGTATAGTGCAGAGTGATCGTAACGTATACCCCGGAGATATCGAGGATGGATGTCGCCAAAATGCATTTTCAATTTGGGCAAGCACAATATGTTGTCCGTGGATATCCATAGATGTTGATGCGGTTCAACATCTGATTGTTCTTACATCTAAGGGGGCGGTGGGTAGCCAAGTGGTTAAAGCGTTGGCTCGTCACGCCGAAGACCCGGGTTCGAATTCCACATGGGTACAATGTGTGAAGCCCATTTCTGGTGTTCCCCTGCCGTGATGTAGCTGGAATATTGCTAAAAGCGATGTAAAACCAAACTCAGTCAGTCAGTCAGTCTTACATCTAAGACTTTGGTGGTTCTTATCCTGGGTACATACCCAGATCATGCTTTTCAGGACAGGTATACAACTCATGTGGAGTTCCACAAGGATCTGTCCTTAGCTCTGTGTTGTTTACTTCACGCACAGGAGTGAGTGAGTGAATCTGGCTTTATGTCACATTTTGCTTTATTGTAGAAATATCAAAGCAAATGACACCAGAAAGAGGCTTCACACATTGCACGCACATATACACAGGGTGTATCAGTGATTATCATGTGGATTATCATTGCTACAGTCTTCAATATCCAAATCCAAGGCACCATTCCACAAACTATCTTAGCGCTACTTTGATCATACGTCTAAGCGCTATGCTTCAGGGCCAGGAATCACTCTTGTTCTACATGTGTGATGTCTTCAGTGACAATACCTACCTCAAAACTTAATGACAATAAGACTGACATTTGATTGGCTGGTTTGTCTAAGTTATGTGAACTCTATCATTATTTTTTTGCTTGATATCAATGTTTGAAAATATACACTCATTTTTCTTACAATGAAAGTATAACCCGCATTGTGCTGAAATGTTATGAAGCCTCTGTTTGTCAAGCTAAATAGGCCAGAGTAACCGCCCTTTGATTATGTATAATAGGTGCCAGTTGATTTAGACTGGTCTCCTGTCTAATCCCAAAGCAAAAGATGTTAAGTCATCACTGTTGAGTGTGGAACTGACCACATAGCCAGCTGACGGCCAGGCAACAGCTGGACTAAAACAGTAGTCTGCGCATCGCGACACAAGAACCACACCTATATCTGCAGCACGTGAAATGGATCTTATAAGTTCTAACAAGGTCATTCGTTTATCAGTCGGTCACCAATGACGTCATTTCCAAGGGACATAAGCCATGGTGTGTTTATTATGGACATAGAAGTAATAAAGTGCAAGACAAAAAAGGTTCATTTTCGTGTAAACCTGTCCATTAAAACCTTATTTCACCACAATCGCTTATGTGCGATATTCTCAATCTCATCGTATTGATAATCATTAAAACATCTTCTCATCCAGGATATTTCCGATTATCAATCATTTTAGTATCAGCATTGAAGATGGGTGAGTGAGTGAGTTTAGTTTTACGCCGCACTCAGCAATATCCCAGCTATATGGCGGCGGTCTGTAAATAATCGAGTCTGGACCAGACAATCCAGTGATCAACAGCATGAGTTTCAATCTGCGCAATTGGGAACCGATGACATGTGTCAACCAAGTCAGCGAAACTGACCACCCAATCCCGTTAGTCGCCTCTTACGACAAGCATAGTCGCCTTTTATGGCCAGCGAATGGGTTGCTGAAGACCTATTCTACCCCGGATCTTCACAGGTCGCATTGAAGATGAGCCAGGTATGTTTCTTAGTTTGTTGTTGAACATCCTCTTTTCCAACATTACAGCTGGAAACAGTCAAACCCCGCTCTTACCCAAAATAACCCTTCTTGAAGGTTTATAGTCATATGACTTATCCCACCGGGTACCCATTTTCTGCTGGGTGAACAGAGACAATTTTGAAGCAACTCACTTGCCTTAGGTGAGGCTACATGTGTCACGTGGACTTCATTTCAGAAGCCCTAGCCAGGAGTCAGGCTGCCAAACACTGTCACCCATCCATGGACTCTCCGTGGTCAACATTGTCTAACTTCAACTGATTTGAGACCTGGTGTCTATGGACAAGACCACACACCGCAACTCATCTTTTGAGCAGACAATATTGCACAGGGCCATTGGGACGTTCATTTGCCTCCTGTGTCATTTATCCATGAACAACTATGCAGTAACGTCTTCAAGCACGGTAACGTTAGACCCATATGCTGCCTTATCTCCGCAGACAAGCCAGAACTCGCCCAGTACTAGGTGTCAGGTACCAGGAACTGGAGAGATCAAGACATGGCAACGGATTCCAACTTTCGTCATCGGTATGGCGACGTGGTAGTGTCTCATTGAGGCGCGCGATTGACGTACGCAGTGTTAAACCGGCGGTTTATGACTTTGCAGTGACTTACAAGCTCCTTGTCACACGTGCGTTTAGTTTTATAGTGGCCTCCTGACAGCATTTCTCGTCATAAAGAACAATTCTGTTTACATGATGCTAAAACGCAGCTCTCGTTAGACATTTGTGTTTAAACGTCAAACATGCTCGCGCTTTGTTTCAAGCGACTCACGATGTCCTGGTGTTCTTTCCTATAGAAGTCGTTTTATGTTCTGTTTATAACGACGCTTTAATTATTAGATGGGTTTGACCTTTCAACTACGATCATATTTTAAGCATATATTTCTTGTTTCTATTGCCTATAGCCTACTTTTCCTAGTCCAACGACATCGGGTACATGTGTTGTGGGTAGGTAGGTTTTAAGAGCGTTATCATGAAAATGGTGAAATGGAACTGTATGTGCTTTGGCATGGAAACAGTTCAGGATATGTGCCCCTAACCACACCCTGTGTGGACAGTACGGTCAACATCGTTCGTATGTCCATGCTACCGGGCGAAGCGTTATTCACAAAGTATTATAACATGTAGTGACAAACATGTTATAACATGGAGTGACAGATGTGTTATACAATGGGGTGTCAAACATGTTATTACATGGAGTGACAGATGTGTTATACCTTAGAGTATCAAACATGTTATAACATGGAGTGACAGGTGTGTTATACCATAGAGTATCAAACATGTTATAACATGGCGTGACAGATGTGTTATACCATGGGGTGTCAAACATGTTATTACATGGAGTGACAGATGTGTTATACCATGGGGTGTCAAACATGTTATTACATGGAGTGACAGATGTGTTATACCATAGAGTATCAAACATGTTATAACATGGCGTAACCTATGTGTTATAACATGGGATATCAAACATGTTATAACATGGCGTGACAGATGTGTTATACCATGGAGTATCAACCATGTTATAACATGGAGTGACAGATGTGTTATACAATAGAGTATCAAACATGTTATTACATGGAGTGACAGGTGTGTTATACCATGGAGTATCGAACATGTTATTACATGGAGTGACAGGTGTGTTATACCATAGAGTATCAAACATGTTATTACATGGAGTGACAGGTGTGTTATACCATAGAGTATCAAACATGTTATAACATGGAGTGACATGACATATGTGTTATACCATGGAGTATCAAACGTGTTATACCATGGTTGACAAACATGTAATAAAGGGAAACACATTGATCCGAAATGTAAATATGTCTCGTTCAGCTTTGGATTCGGATATATCAGATTAGTTGCCATTTAAAGAAAGTTTGAGCAGATGTCACGTCTGACGTCACTCGTCACCATTCGCCCCTTTCCGTAACCATCAAGGAGGTTCGTCCGGGAACAACACGTTTTAGTCACGAATGGCCGCGGAACATAAACTTGATCATTTCCAATGTTTGAAGTTACTTTTGTAACAGAACTATTCCTCAATGATTTATCTGTCAAGATATTAATAGTCGACTTGGCACAACTGTGATTTTTTTCACATCAATTCCTGATACCAGAAAATGATCGATTGTAAATGTTGTATTTATGTGTACATTAACGGCGGAGTCACTGCCTACTAGCCTGTTCTGCATATAAACAGTTTCCAACAAATATACACACGGCATTTTGCCAAATGTGAATGCATCTTTAATATTAGTCTTTTAAGAAGCAGCAATTAAGTGTGCTCCAAATGTACCTATATCATGCTGTGCTCCAACATAAAACCATTCTTTGGATAAACTGCCATGAATCCTGTCTCTTGTAGATTCCATTTTCTAAATAATTCGTTAGTAGTTCGGCAATGGGGTT